TCCCGCGTTCACGTCCTCGTGTGCGCCTGCGTCGGTCACCCCCTCGTTCGCGGTCTCATAGTTGCTCTCGTGAGAAACGTCAGCAAGAATACAATTTGGTCCCAGCACTTGCCCCCTCTTCTTATTTATGTAAATTTAATCTTCCTTAAATATCAAACTGTTAGAATGAATATTTTTCGGTTTAAAAAAGGCGCATAGCTTCAAACCGACTTTGAGATAAAATTTACAATTTTTACACTTTTCCAAGGAAAATCATGCATTTGCAAACTTGGCTAAATCGTTGTTAGGCCCTTTGAGTATTTCTTCATGGATATCCACAATGTTGTCACAATATATAACCTAAGTAAATAGACGAATACGATGTTGTATGAAGGGATGTTTAAATCTAACTAAATCTTAATCTAAATAGTAATAAGCCTACTTGTAATCAAAAGATACCCTTTTTGAGGCAGAGTCTACTACTGGTACCACAGCGGAAACGAAAGCTCCCGGAATCATTTAATACAGGACTGGTGGTATTGGTAAATTATTAATTTTTTATGTATTATTTAATTAATCAACCGAAGTTATTATTTTAATTATTTATTTGTTGCGCGCGTTGTCGTTGCTGCATTTTAGAACACTCTTATCTCCTATTATCTGTTTTGTTTTCCGTATTTTTTTTTCTTTTCTCTCCTGCGCTGCCGTAATGGCTCACCCGTATAAGAGCACATTACCATCCGTCCCTTACTACATAATTTTGGCGTTTTGGTTTCCAACTTGGTATCTGTAACCGTTTCAAGTATGAATGGTGAAGGAAGTTTAGTCTGCTATCAAGTAAATACAAACATTATATTTCATACTCAGCATATGTGAATTTATAAGAGTTTAAAAATCACTGGAAAGCATATATTCCTTAAGCAGCTACCTTTTATCGAGTGTTGATTTTGCATGTGGGCAGAATAGAACACATCCAAATGGAAACGCCCCTTCCTGACAGAGCCATCTTGGGAGTATGCTGTATCATACTCATTATTAGTAGGCAACCTACCTAATTCATTTTAACGGAATTCGGAAGATAGGTCACTTTTGCACCATTATTCGGTTTATTCCCTTTTGCTATCTCCATCTTTTTCATAAACAAGCGCTTTCGAAAAAATATATCCTATCGAGAAATGAAATTTGCATATTACTAAGGTAAGCAAAGTTAACAGGTAAACACTTACACATTCGCTGTTCATTGCTTCCTGCTTCTTCTTTCTTGACTGAATCTGTTTCGTCATTTTGCCTTTGCCTTTCAATGTGATACACTTTATTTGCATTGGCTCCGTAACGTCAAAGTAGACGATGCCGTAGAGTATTCGGTCGGGCACCACTCGGGGATTGAACACTTTGAGTGTGAGCTGTTGCAGAAAACTGTCGGCTGCGCCGAAGCCTTCCGTCTTTGTGGCCTCTCCAGCAGTTGCGAAAGCGCAAGAAAGCGCAGCTACAATAAGGGTTTTTTGTAGTTATGATGCAATGAGTTCGGACGCGCCTTCGGAACAATAAAATATACCATCACTGACCTCATTCGAGTTTGCGTTAACTCAACTCTACGTAGGCTGCACCTACTTGTACTTGTTACGGTTGTGACCACGCCGTATCTAGCCGGCAAATTAATGTAACGGATGGTACCTCTCCATGCGAGACGATCGGCGGTAACAGACCGAGAGAGCTCCACCCAGTCTCTTCTCCAGCGGCGGAGACCGCAGATAGAAGGTCCAAGATCTGCTTCCATGTCATGCTCTCCTTTCCGACGTCTCCAGGTGGGCTGCGATGCCGGCTCAAAGGCAGCCCAGCTTAATTCGTGGGATGCGGACGACGGAGAACGTGCCCAAATCACCTCAGTCGTCTTCCTTGAATGGCCTGAGATATTCTGGTTGTACGATAGCAGTGGGTGCGGACTGCCTCATTCGAGATGAGATCGCCAGAGTTAAGTCTCAAGATGATCCGCAGGCATCGGTGGTCAAAGACCTTCATTCTTTACTCATCTTTAGCGCACATAGCCCATCATTCACATCCATAGAAGAGGACTGACCGGATGGATGTACGGTATACACGAA